TGACCACCCCTTGATGACCACCCCCGGATGACCACCACCCCTGACTGACCCCCCGTCCCTCCCCAGGCCTCCTCCTCCACCGGCGCCTCCACCGCCGGCCTCTCGGTGGTCAAAGTCCTGAGCGGCGCCGAGGCGGCCGGAGCGGCCGGAGCGGCCGGAGCGGCGCGCGGCGCCGCCGACGAGAGCCGGCGCCTGGAGCACCAGAAGAAGCAGGAGAAGGCCAACCGCATCGTGGCCGAGGCCATCGCCCGGGCGCGCGCCCGCGGCGAGCAGAACATCCCGCGCGTCCTCAACGAGGACGAGCTGCCCAGCGTCCGGCCCGAGGACGAGGGCGACCGCAAGCGGCGCCGCAGAGCCGGCGAGCGCGGCGCCGGCCGGGACGAGCGGCCGCGGCGCGGCAAGGGCGGCCAGGCCGGCGGCAAGAGCAAGGCCAGGGGCAAGGCCAGGTGAGCGCGGCGCGGTGGTGGTGGTGGTGGTGGTCAGCGTGGTCTTGGTGGTCAGCAAGGGTTGGGTTTTGTTGTGGTCTTGGTGGTCATCTTGGTCTTGGTGGTCATCAAGGGTTGGTGGTCAGCGTGGTCTTGGTGGTCATCAAGGGTTGATGGTCATCAAGGGTTGGGTTTCATTGTGGTCTTGGTGGTCAGCAAGGGTTGGTGGTCATCAAGGCTTGGGTGGTCAGCGTGGTCTTGGTGGTCAGTGAGGGTTGGGTTTTATTGTGGTCTTGGTGGTCAGCGTGGTCTTGGTGGTCATCAAAGGTTAATGGGCATCAAGGGTTGGTGGTCATCAAGGGTTGGGTTTTATTGTGGTCTTGGTGGTCATCAATAGTTGGGTTTCATCGTGGTCTTGGTGGTCATCAAGGGTTGATGGTCATTGTGGTCTTGGTGGTCATTGTGGTCTTGGTGGTCAGCAAGGGTTGGGTTTTGTTGTGGTCTTGGTGGTCAGCATGGTCTCGGTGGTCATCAAGGGTTGGTGGTCAGCGTGGTCTTGGTGGTCATCAAAGGTTGATGGGCATCAAGGCTTGGTGGTCATCAATGGTTGGGTTTCATTGTGGTCTTGGTGGTCAGCAAGGGTTGATGGTCAGCATGGTCTTGGTGGTCAGCAAGGGTTGATGGTCATTGTGGTCTTGGTGGTCATCAAGGGTTGCTGGGCATCAAGGGTTGGTGGTCATCAAAGGTTGATGGGCATCAAGGGTTGGTGGTCAACCATCAAGGGTTGGGTTTTGTTGTGGTCTTGGTGGTCAGTGTGGTCTTGGTGGTCAGCAAGGGTTGGTGGTCAGTGAGGGTTGGGTTTCATTATGGTCTTGGTGGTCATCAATGGTTGGGTGGTCAGCGTGGTCTTGGTGGTCATCCAAGGTTGTGTTTCGTTGTGGTCTTGGTGGTCAGCGTGATCTTGGTGGTCATCAAGGGTTGGTGGTCATTGTGGTCTTGGTGGTCAGCGTGGTCTTGGTGGTCATCAAGGGTTGGTGGTCATCATGGTCTTGGTGGTCATCAAGGAGTGGTGGTCATCAAAGTCAGTTGGTCAGTGGGTCGCTCTGGTCAGTTGGTGAGTTGGTCACTCTGTGGTCAGTGGTCACTCAGTGGTCACTCAGTGGTCACTCGGTGGTCAGTTGGTCACTCAGTGGTCACTCTGTGGTCAGTGGTCACTCAGTGGTCACTCAGTGGTCACTCGGTGGTCAGTTGGTCAGTGGTCACTCTGTGGTCAGTGGTCACTCAGTGGTCACTCGGTGGTCACTCGGTGGTCAGTGGTCACTCAGTTGGTCACTCGGTGGTCAGTTGGTCAGTTGGTCACTCTGTCCGCAGCACCATCACGCCGGTGGTGGGGAAGAAGCGCAAGCGCAACGCCGGTCAGAGTGACCGCAGCGCTCAATGGTCACTCTGTGGACAGTGGTCACTCAGTGGTCACTCGGTGGTCAGTTGGTCAGTTGGTCACTCTGTCCGCAGCACCATCACGCCGGTGGTGGGGAAGAAGCGCAAGCGCAACGTCTCCTCGGACAATTCCGACTCGGAGGCGCTGCCGGCCCCGTCCCCGCGCCGCGACGACGACGCCACCGTGCAGGTGACCCCGGGGGCGTGGCCAGCGGGGCGTGGTCACCTGGGGGTGTGGTCACCTGGTGTGGTCACCTGGTGTGGTCACCTGGTGTGGTCAGATGGGTGTGGTCAGATGGGTGTGGTCATCTGGTGTGGTCATCTGGTGTGGTCACCTGGAATTGGTCATCTGGGGGTGTGGTCAGCGGGGCGTGGTCATCTGGTGTGGTCACCTGGTTGTGGTCAGATGGGTGTGGTCACCTGGGTGTGGTCATCTGGGTGTGGTCACCTGGTGTGGTCACCTGGTGTGGTCACCTGGGTGTGGTCAGATGGGTGTGGTCAGCTGGGTGTGGTCACCTGGAATTGGTCACCTGGTGGGTGTGGTCACCTGGGGGCGTGGTCATCTGGGTGGGATTGGTCACCTGGGATTGGTCACCTGGGATTGGTCACCTGGGGGTGTGGTCAGATGGGGGCGTGGTCATCTGGGGGCATGGTCACCTGGGTGTGGTCACCTGGTGGGTGTGGTCACCTGGGATTGGTCACCCGGGATTGGTCACATGGGATTGGTCACCTGGGATTGGTCATCTGGGGGCGTTGTCACCTGGTGGGTGTGGTCACCTGGGGGTGTGGTCATCTGGGTGGGATTGGTCACCTGGGATTGGTCACCTGGTGGGTGTGGTCATCTGGGTGGGATTGGTCACCTGGGCTTGGTCACCTGGGCTTGGTCACCTGGTGGGTGTGGTCATCTGGGATTGGTCACCTTGGTAGGTGTGGTTACCTGGTGGGTGTGGTCACCTGGGATTGGTCACCCGGGATTGGTCATCTGGGGTTGGTCACCTGGGATTGGTCACCTGGTGGGTGTGGTCATCTGAGGGGTGTGGTCATCTGGGAATGGTCACCAGGGTGGGATTGGTCATGTGGTGGGTGTGGTCATCAGGGGGGTGTGGTCAGCTGGGATTGGTCACCTGGGATTGGTCACCTGGGTGTGGTCATCTGGGATTGGTCACCTGGGTGGGCGTGGTCACCTGGTGGGTGTGGTCACCTGGGTGGGCGTGGTCACCCAGATGGGCATGGTCCACCAGGTGGTCACCTGGGGTGGCTGGAGTCCCCAGGGCAGGTGGGGCGACCTGGGTGGGCGTGGTCACCCGGGATTGGTCACCCGGGTGGGCGTGGTCTGAGGGCCCCGCCCCCCGCAGAAGCGGCGCTCGAACCGCCAGGTGAAGCGCAAGAAGTACACGGAGGACCTGGACATCAAGATCACGGACGACGAGGAGGACGAGGAGCTCGACGTCACCGGGCCGGCGCGGCCCGAGCAGCCGCCGGCGCCGCCGCCGCCCGAGCCCGACGGCGCCGAGGCGCTGCCCTCCATGCAGTTCTTCGTGGTGGGTGCCCGTCCTCATCTTCATCTTCATCTTCATCCTGTTCTTCATGTTCTTCTTGGTGGTCTTCATCTCCATCAGCTTCATGGTGTTCTTTGTGTTCTTCATCTTCATGGTCTTTGTGTTCCCGAGGCGCTGCCCTCCATGCAGTTCTTCGTGGTGGGTGCCCATCTTCATCTTCCTCATCTTCATCCTGTTCTTCATGTTCTTCTTGGTGGTCTTCATCTCCATCATCTTCATGTTCTTCATCTTCTTCATGGTCTTTGTGTTCCTGAGGCGCTGCCCTCCATGCAGTTCTTTGTGGTGGGTGCCCATCCTCATCTTCATCTTCATCTTCATCTTCATCTTCATCTTCATCTTCATCTTCATCTTCATCTTCATCTTCATGTTCTTCTTGGTGGTCTTCATCTCCATCATCTTCATGTTCTTGGTGGTCTTCATAATTTTCATGTTCTTCATCATCTTCATCTTCCC